TAGGTTGAAGAGGACCAAGATTCATATAAGCTCGTCGAATTGTATCTTGTTGATTGATAGGATAATCATAAATTTGATGACGCAAAGCAGGGTCTCGTTCTAGTGTACCCAGATCAATATCATTACTTTCAATTTGAGCTTTTTTGCAAGGGTTTTCAATAGGCGGAATACTAGATGCAGGAGTATTATCTACATTTGTTGTTTCTTCGAGATCTTGAGAAGAAGAACTAGCATGCTTTCTTTTAAAAAACCCATGAATGGTAGGTTGAGTTTTCATCTTTATCTACATAGCAGTTTTAGACTTCAGTGTTAGATTGTATGATTTCAATTCATATTCATGACCGTTAACCAAAGAACAAACCAGTGAAGAGTGAACTGTTAACTTAACTGTGTACAACAGTCAACAGTACAAGGCATCTCTAAATAACCAATTTCAACCACATAACCAATTAATCACCACATAAAGTCATAAATTTAGACCTAATAATCACTAAATCACCACTTTTGGGTTTTGATTTCAAAACAAAAGGTGCAAAATTTCACATTTGGGTTCGTCCCCTGTCATTAGCAACAAGAAGCAGTAGCAGCCTAGGTCTAGCATAAGTGCAGAAGCAGTCAGGCAGAACAGGAACAACAACAGTCAACAGAGAATGAGAGAAGCAGGGGCTTACCGGGAGTTAACGTGGCCGGCTGGGCGCTGGCCGTCGACCGCCGAGTCCGAGTGCCGCCTCCTCCGCCTGCCGTCTACGCTGGTCGCTGGCTGACTGGCTCGCTGCGCAGTAGTACGCTCCTAGTCCTCGTCCTCCACACTCCACAGGCTGCCGCAGTGCAGTGGTCGCCCGTCGCCGTCGCTCTAGAGTCTCGCCTGAGTCGCCTCTCAGGATTGGATTGGGGGGGGGGGGTTGAAATTTTTGGTTTTCTAAAGCTAATGAACTAAACTATTCAATGGTAATTGGTAAAAAAATCACAGGGGCCTGGACCCCTATAGGCCCATATGGTGGTCCGCCTCTGACTATATATATATATCAAAAAAAATATAATCATGTTCTAGTGTTTGACAAAATTTAGTAATAATAGTTATGATTGTATGAAAGAATAATATATCACAATCATATAATTTTGAATAACCACAGATCGAAAATATAATATTATAAACATTATATTATTCGAGTTGAATTTTATTTGAATTATGGTAACCACAATAAACAAAGCAGATTAATTATTTTAAAGATTCTTGAGGTAACTGTAAATTATGAAAAGTGTTACAAATAGAATTTATGGGTTTTAAAAAACAAATCACGTGAAATTGATATAATAGATGTTGTTTTTGTTTTCAATTTTTTAATTTGCACGATGAGTCTATTTTAATAACATATTTCTGGTTTTATATGACGTGCACGTCTTCGTCTCAATTCGTTGTAGCTCTGGCAACATTATCAACTATCCATTTATTTGAAAATTTTAATTATTAATTTATTATTATTTTCATTTGTCATGTGTTAGGGAATAAGTTATAATAGACTTAAGGGTCGTTTACTAAATGTTTATTAGGGTAAGTGAACATCAAGTCACATTACCTTACCGGATGAATATGATAAGAACCAAGAAACTTACCCGATAAGGGTAAGACAAGAATCAAGAGTCTTACCCGGTAAATGAGGACGACGTCTCTTACCACGGTAAACACGTAACGGGTAAATTATTGTATACGATACTGTTTTGATGGACTAAAAACTTACTCGGTAAGTAAATGATAGTGTTAAATTTTACCGATAAACACTTACCGGGTAAGTGTTTGATAAACGGTCTATTATTCTTTTTTTCCCCTCTTTTAAGGTTATAATTATAAATTTGCTGATAAACTAATTTTTAATCGACTATTTATTGGTTAATAAGTTAATTGGTAATATATATATATTTTAGATATAAAATGACCTAAAATGATTTATTGAAAATTAATTGAAAAAAGACCGCTTAAGACATTGTGTGGCAAATATAAACAATCTTATTTTTTTAGGTACACGTTTGAATGAACATGAACTAGTTTAAGTTATTGAAATGTTTGTTGGAGTATTTTAGGAGCTTATTGACATTTTTTTCAGTTGTAACTTTGATTAATATTAGTTGTTATTTATTACTATTAATTATAAATAAATATTAATAAAAAATAACTATTACTAATATTTATTAGTTATTATTAGTTAAAAGTTATTGAT